TCTGAAAATAAATAAATAAATCTAATTACTTTACCCCTTACCAAAAAAAAAAAGTAATGACGTCTTTGGCCATTCTGAGTCTTCCACTGGGATAGGGGAGATAGATACTAAACTGGTAAACGTATAAATATAATAACGGACAAACAATGACGTGAGCTAGAAATATACCAAAGCTCAGGTGTGGGGGAAGGGGAGTGGTCAGGGAAAGCCCTCTCTGAGAGTCTCCTTGAGATGTGATGTTAACTGGGAGAGGAAACGGTGAAAACGAATCTCTGGAAAAGGGACTGGCCAGGGTAAAGACCTGAGATGAGAGAGTGCCTGGCAGCAAGGGGACCAGGGTGCGTGAAGTGAAGTGAAGCGAAGCAAATGAGGGGGAGGACTGGCTGCTGAGGTCACCAAGGTGATATGGAGCCAGATCACGTGGAACCTTCAAGGCCAGGGTAAAGAATTTGAACTTTACCTTCAGGGCAACAGTCTGCCCTTGAAGGATTTTGAGAGAGAGAATATCATCTTGTACATTTTTTTTTAGGCTGTTGAGTGGAAAACAGGTAGCAGGGGTGAGGGTGGAAGCAGGGAGGCCTCTGCATGTCCAGGTAAGTGATGATGGTGGTGGCAGTGGAGGTGGCGAGGAGAGGTCAGATAATGAACACATTTTGAACACAGAGCCAAAAGAATTTGCTGATGGATTATAACGTGTGACCAAATGGGAGATGTAATTCTTCCGTTTCAGCACAGACGTCCCTTCTTCAAGGAAGCCTTCTGGGAACCCTGGATGCTAATCTTGGGTCCTCTATTAAACACCCTTGAATCCCCGTTTTAAGCCCTCCTTCATTAAACACCTAACACTGCTGATGGCTGTTTAATGACCTGCTCTCCTACTCATCTGTCAGCTCCTTGAAAAGGAACCCTGTCTGTCTTGTCAGACACATCTGTATCACCATCTCCTGGCATACAGTAGGCCCTCAATAAATGTTTGCTGGCTAAATGAAAAGAACCCTTTCAAGCTTCAGCTCCATCTGCCTAAATCATCTGCTTCCAGTTTCTAGGCTAGAGTAAGAAGGATTTGTTTTTGCTAATGGGCTCTAAGTGTGTATATTTATGTGGTATGGGTATGGCCTGGAGGAGCCAGCCTCACCTGTCATCCCAGAGGCAGTGGAATTCATTGAGCTGCTCATCAAACACCAAGCCAGTGCCAAACAGTGTCCTGGCCTCAAGGTTCAGATCCTGCAGGGAAAAAAAATGGGAGAAACTGATGCATTTTGGACCTGAGTCAAAAGGAACATCCCACAGTGTCCAGGATGGAGAACCTCAGGGTTTTGATTGTCATAGGAGGCTACATTGTGGCCAGGCCTCTCTCACCAGTCCTTGCAGCCCCACGATTAGGTCTTGCTCAGCTGCTTGGTTAAGCTTCTTCATTCTGCCTTTCTTCTTTACCTCCGCTAGATTAGGGCTGGAGCGGAGTGCAGCACCCTTCTTAACACCTCGCTTCTGCCAAACAGAGAAGGGTTAGAGTCCAGTGCATGGCTTGCTGCCCCCCCTCCCCCTCATCTGGGCTTCTCTGGGGCCTCACCAAGGTGACGCTGGAATCGTGGGGGGGCGAGTGGGGGCTGTGCCTACTCCTTCGCGGCCTGGTTGTGGTGGGATCCTGGCCAGTGGAGGTCATGGCTGGGGAGACTTCACCCCTGGCGCGGTTCTGGGAGGTGGGGTGGAGGTGACTGTGTAGGGGCCCGAGTGCCCTGAGGATCCCACATCCCAGCCCCTTCCCAGGCCCCGCCCCCTTTGCTAGTCTCCATCCCTTATGCTGTCTATTCCCCACCGCCTTCTAAACTCCGCCTCTCAAGGCTCTCTCCTTCCAACGGGATGTCCATTCCATCTGGTTCCGCCCATTTCACTAGGCTCCACCCCCTTAACACTATTCTTTTCCCTTTCAAAATCTTGCCCTTTCAAAGAGCAAACTAACTCCCCGGTTCAGTCCGTTCTAGAGCCTGCCCTTTCCAGCTAATCACCGCCCCTTCCGCTCTATCAAGCCCCATTCCCAGACCCTTCCATTCCTCAAAGCCTCGCCCAGACCCCACCCCTTCGCAAACCTGCCCTTTCCAGCCAATCTCCCGGGATTATCACCCACCCTTTCACTCAGCCAGACCCAGCCCGGGCCCCGACTCCACCCTTAACGACCCACTTAACTCCACCCCTTATCGGGCCGGACCGGCACCTTCCACTTGGCTAGATCCCGCCCCCAACGTTTCAAGGAGCCCAGCTCCTCAGGAGACTGCCCCTTTCCTTCCACCAGGCCCCACCCCCTGCCCAGGTCCCACCCCTAACGCTTCACCAAGTCCCTTCAGCCAGTTCCGAACCGCCTCCCGCCAGCCCCTCCCCCCTTCCCGGCCCCGCCGTCGACGCCGACCAATCCCTTCACACACTGGGCGCAGCTCCTTTCTCAAACTCCGCCCTTGTCTTGCGCTGCCAAATTCCCGACGACCTTTCGCGCCGCTGGTGCTTGAGCTCCGCTTTTCCATTGGGCTGGGTCCCTTCACAGCCCGCCCCGATACCGCCCACACTGGGGAGCCTGCCTCAGGACCACACCTCCGGCAAACTGACAAACGGCGCGCCGGCACGTCTGTCGTCAACGCGC